CAATATGTCTTCAATATTGTCTTCGGACTAAGATCTTAAACAAAAAGTAAGTCTGACTGGACCTACTATAAAGAATTAAGAAATCTTGTAAATACTGCTATTAAGTGTGAAAAACGTGCTTACATTACTCATGCTATACAGAATTCTGTTAACCCGTGGAAAGTGTTGCGAAAAAATGTATTACAATGTAAGGTTCATTCCCTTCCACAGCACTTAAAAACCGGCGACGAACTAAATAATTTCTTGTTGGAAGCTCAATGCTATGGCCACTGTAGGGTTGATAATTTGATTAATGACTTTGGTAAGGCAAAATTTGGCCCAGGTGTTTTCTCATTTAGGTTGGTGTCCGAGAGTGATATTTTAGCTGAATTACATAATATAGGATCAAATGCTGTGGGTGCTGATGGTATTGCTATTCAATTCATAAAAATGGCTTGTCCTATAATCTTACCTCATATAACAAATATTATTAATACTTGTCTATTAGAAGGTATTTTCCCTTTAATATGGAAACAGTCCATTGTGATACCGGTACCGAAGGTACCAAGTCCAAACGAATACTCATGCCTAAGACCCATATTCATTTTGTGTTCCTTATCAAAAGTATTAGAAAAGATAGTTAACAGACAATTGACGGAGTTTCTGAAGGCTGAGCGCATTGTTCCAGTGAATCAGTCTGGTTTCAGGGAAAGACATAACTGTGAAACTGCACAATATAATGGATAATATTGTTACTGCAACTGACTTCAATAGATTGACTTTTCTGGGGATGTTGGATTTCTCCAGAGCATTTGATAATCTAAACCAAGATTTGTTAATATCAATTCTTGACCATATAGGGCTTGATTCTGTCTCATTAGCTTTTTTCAAAAATTACCTTAAAGGCAGGATTTAATCAGTCAGTATTGATCAGGTGAAGTCGAGTGCTTTGGAGATAAGGTCTTATTGGGGTCTTATTTAAAATTTACACGATAAATTTCAATAGCTTCGTTAATTTCTGTAGCATCCACTATTATGCTGATGATACTCAGATTTATCTGTTCTTTTCTGAAGGCCACTTTGATGAAAACTTCAACAAGTTCAAGCGTGACTTGCATGGCATTATCGATGGGGTATTGCTTAAAGATAAACACTAATAAGACCCAGATCATTCCGTTTGGCCCCCGAAGTTAAAAGAGAAATTTATTAATGGGTTTTATCAGCTGTCGATAGGAGATACTCCTATTCCATTGAGTAAGTCTGTCAAAAACTTCGGACTGGTCATGGATGAGGCGTTGAGCTTTAGGGAACATACTAATTAGTTGATTCGAGCTTATGGCTCGTTAAAATTGATTTACTCTAATCGTTATAATCTCGACTGGTACATAAAAAAACTTTGTTATAGTCTCAACTGGCACACAAAAAAACTTTTATGCGACTCTCTGGTATTGTCACACTTCAGTTACTGTGACAGCATATACGGGGCTTTCTTGGATTCCAGGCATCAGGGAAAAATTCAAAAGCTTCAAAACTCGTGCATTCGTTTAATTTTCGGCCTGAGGAAATATGATCATGTGTCTTTTGGTTTTAAGCAGTTAAAATGGCTGAACATGAAATCTCGCAGATACATCCACAAGGCCTGCTTGTATTATAGGGTCATCACTGAAGGTACCCCTCCATACCTGCATGATAGGATTAAATTCAGTACGGACGTACATAATGTTAATGTTCGCTTCAGGGGTTAACACCTCGTTCTTATCTCTCATTCTTCTATGAGTTTTCATTATTTCCTTGCAATTGGTATTGGTACCCTTTTTTTCTTTTGTTTTGTTGTTTTTTTTTCTTTACGGTCTTTCTTTTTGTTAGGTTGAGTGGAAGATCAGGGTTGACCAGAACTCCGTCTATATGTTCGGCCTTTTTTCTTAATAACTAAATTAAATTTCTTTTATATGTTGCCTTATTTTTTGTATTTTTATTATTTCTTTTTTTTTGAAAATCATTTTTGTACCGAATGAGGTATATTATTTATATATTATATTACTTCACAAGATTGTAATTATAAAATTGCCCGAATAAAGTGATTATTATTAATAATAATATCTACAAGGCGCTGATTTCAAAGAACGTTTATCATTTTACGTGTAGGCAAGTAAACAAATTGATTAACCATGGACTGGTTAATCGACATAATAGGCGATACTAGAGAGTTGAAACCCCAAAGGGGCTCCGTCAAGTTGAATATGAACGTCTTTGAACTGTCAATATGTGGTGTACAATAATTAGCGGCGATATCATGCTGTTTATTATTAATTTGAGATACAAATATTTATTACAGTGATGTTTCTGAATTAGAGAGATCAGTTCTCATGAAACTAAAATAAATTTGATATTGAGATGAGAACTTGTACATAAAACTTGTTTGAATGTTGATTAAAAAAAGCTTTTTAAATTTAAAGTTAATTTCTTCAACCTCCATTAACAACTAGAGGGCAATTAAACGTGTTCACACATACCTTGTAACCTCCTTAACGTCAGCAATAAAACACCTAAGCCGACGTTTACACTGAATATTTCTCGCCGGCTGTCGTCTATTTGCCAGACCATATATTTCCAAGAAGGATTTAAGTTGTTTTGCGTATACAGAAAGGGACGATAATAATAATGTATTGCCGAGGAAGTATACATCGTCCATTCAATACAAGACCGCTGCAACTGTTCCCATTATCAGACCGGCAACTTCGCTACTACAAACACCAATTTGTGTAATAATAGGTAACCGCCGTAATGTAAACCAATTGTGTCTATTTGCGTACACCTGAACGTTCTACGGTTGCCCTCAGGAAGTTTATTAAAGACACATTGCTGAAACAATATTTTTAGTTTCACGTTTTGTGTAAACCATACGAAACCGATTTATGTGGTTAGAACCTTAGTACGAAACACATTACCCATAAAAGTCGCGTCCAACCTGTTGTATACGTTGTTTATTGGTTGTAAAAACCTCTATGAGATTATCGGCTTAACTCATTTTATATGCCAATAAAAGAACTGTTCTGTCACGTAATTTGAAAACTTTCAACATTGATGTTAATGTAAATTGCTTAATGTTAGTAATAATTCTTGTAACATCTTGTCTAAGTAAATATTTAAGATATTTAAAGAGTAGCTGTTAAAAATTCACTACGAAAATACTAGCTAATTGGATTATAGTGGTTTTCGAATCGATCCTACTTATAACATTACCAAATAAACCACATTGCGGTTGAGAATGTGAGTGTTAGTGGACATGATTAGCGCATGTCAGTGGTACCAGTGGTCTAGTGACATGTAAACATTGTTTCGGCGACACATCTAAATACCGTTTGGATAGGTTTCGGTACATTTTGCATATTTTCAATTCTACCGTTAAATCAAACATGGAATATGGTCGAAATGTTCCCTTCAAGTGAACTATTTTGGTTTGATGTGCGACTTTAACATGTCTTTAGATAGAATGTTGAAAAACTTCCTTGTCACCAAGTGTTGCGGTGACGTTCAATAAATTACCTTCACACGACGGAACGATAACGGAACCAGAAGTGGAGCATTCAGGTCGTAACGTCGTCGACTGAATAATAAAACGGCAGTACGTCATACGGTGAAGTTCGGATAATTTCACTAATTAACCCTGGCCGCAGTAAGGGACGTTGTAAATACCACCGTATAGTTTGAAAAATTGCACTCCGACATACGTTCAGAGTATAATTACTTTTACGACCGTTTAACTATTTAATTACTCCATTATTCCTTAGAACTAAAACAACTTTTTTTGATTCACAATGTTTTAAATGTGACCCGTTATAACAAAGATAATAATCTTGCATATTACAAAATTCTCGTTTTGTGGAAACAAATAAATCGACTAATTTTAGGGGTTTTACAAACCCATTACGGGATCTCGTTTGCCATGTTGCAAATTTCACGAGCCGAGAAGAATGCCGGAACACGTGCGAGCCGTTCATGCAAACCCGGATGGCTCGTGCATACATAAAATATGACAATATTTTAAAGCGTAAGGCACTTTTATTGCGAGCGATATTTCAAAACGCGGCGGACGCCAGCCTACAATGGATGTTCACGGGTCACCGGTTTGCATTCCTCACATCCTAATCGACAGTTTATGTAATCCCTGGGGATAATGTGTAAAAAACCTTTTGTTTTAACCTTTCTATTTTTCACATTCATTTTTGTTATCCGAAAAAGTATTGTATTTGTCACGGTACAAATTATACGAGAATTTCATATAGGAATAATGTTGCGTTATTAATTTTCATTAGAACCAAACGATTAATAATATAAACGTAATTTATTATTAAAGTGTCCGTACAAACCAGAGATGAGAGTGCAGCAAAAATATATCCTAACAACTCGAGAGGAATCTAAGTAATTGCTTATTCAGTCAGCTGACGGGCACTTGGAGTAATTAATTTTAACAAAAAATAATTAATTAAAAGTTAACGAGGCGATTTCATGTCTGTTTCTCTACAATGAAAGTAGAATTACAAAATAAAGAATTTTTAATGCATTACTTTTAATGTACATTAAATACGGACTCTAACAAAGAATGGTGGATGAGCCGAAATTTACATATGCAAATACAGTATAACCTTGATATAATTCAACCGAAAATGATAACACTTTGAAGCCCTAGTTTCAACGGTAACAGTTTACTGTATTCAAACTAGTATTACATACTAAGTAGTACATATAAATATGGGTTAAGTATAGTACACGTTGTATACTATTGTATAACGGCTCCAAATGTAACGATGATTTAAGCTTTTTATTCATCGTCTTTGTCCATATGCTATATCACTAAAAACTGTTGATAGATAAATATAAAATAATTCAAGGGTGGAAATTCAAAAGAGTCTAAGTACAAAAAAAAATAAACTGAGAGATTGCATTAAAAATGTCTCATTGTAAAACATAAAAAAAATAAAAAAATTTCTTCAAATACTTTTATTGAGTACAGAAAACACGATCATATAGACTACATACATAGTTACAAATAAAAATAAAAGCTTACATGAAAAACATTAACTTCAACATGACGACTGCTAGAAGGTTCTAGGTGCCAAGGGCAAGAATGTCTAAAAAGGAATCTTTTACTGCAATTCTGTTCTTTCTATGAGATCTTTGAATGTAGACTACATTAAAAGGTCTCTGATGGCGTGCCTCTGCTATCATGTTTCCTATATCATTTTTCTATTTAGGCAAAATCTCTGTCACAAGTGAGATATGAATGGCCACCGATCAGACACTTTTGCTCGACTTTTTCGTAGATACCTTTAGAATCAAGTTAAATGAGCAACATTAAAATAATCTCATTCTTGTTTTGCCCAATACAGTTATCACTCAATATAACCAGTTTTTTTCTTTTAGGAAAATTTGGATGGGATTGGATGTCCATACCTCCCAGTAATAGATTTATCCCATGTGCACATAAACAGGACAACTGCTGACTGTAAAACATATTCGAATGTATAATTAGTTTTTGATCGTTCATATCTGAATGAGTCGAAATGAAAAGATCTTTTGAAACAAGTTCTTTTAATCAATTGAAATAGTATTACCTTCACGATCAATATTTTGAGAGTTTGCGATATCGGTATTGATTGTGAATCTTGGCTTTACCGCCTTGCGATGGTACAGTTCCAGTTTTTGCGCCTCTTGTTTCCCTCTCTAGGTTGATCAAATAAGGATAGAAGGAATAGATTTGGTCTTATTTTGATAAAAATGAACTTTGAACATGTATCTGACCTAGACCGTCCGCATCTGAGATTTGGGAAGTTTTTTTTGAACACTAGTGAGTGATACTTATAAGTAACTACTGAATTTGGATTTTTTCTTTGTACGCCAAAAACATGCGATTGAGATTTAAATCTGGACTCAGGAATGCTTTTATCGATTTGCGCCGGCTGTAATGATTTTCCTTGTGAGGAAAACTCTGGATATGATTCCTGATTTGCTGGCGCATTTCTAGTAATACTTTTTTCCTTTTGTTTTTTTACCACGTTCATCTGTGTAAGTAGTTGCTCCTGATTTCTTTTTTTCCACAAGTACTCTCTTGTAGCTTAGTGTAAATATATTGGAATACGTTTTTCAGCAAACCTGTACTCCACTACCATTAGGAACCATGTAAGCAATCGTACATTGGCGAGGACTTTCCTCTGGTGTATCATATGTGTCATGTCTCCTGCGAGTTATGTTTATAACTTGAATCAACCCCAAAAGAAAAGCACTCTGCTTATCGTGATTTGCTGCTTCATAATACTGTTGGAATAATTTTTGTTTTTTAAGTTTCTCGGGTTGAATGTTAAAGAATTGCAGGAATATTTACAAGAACATGTTACCTGCAACAAGAGTGTAATATAAGTACATGATTTTCTGATTTTGAGGTTAAAATTGCTTACCTCTTGTTCAGGTGGATTTTTAACAGGTACGTGGAAATTTTTATAATTTGTATGTTGCAAGCCACTAATTCTGCAGCTTTTTCTTTCTTTTCTAATACTTTCAATACCTTTCTGTCTCCTTTTTAGACACATAGACCGTTTTGTACGCTATTGGCCTTGGTACATAGAACCATAATGAATGAAATCTAAAATTTGATAAAAGCGGTACTTAGACCCTTTTGAATTTCCACTCTTCAATTATGAATTATGATTTCTTGATCTATTAGGAATACTTTTTGTTCATATTGTCTTTCTCTATCAGTTTTAGTTACATTATAGTTGATTTTATTAAGAAAAATCGTCCAATTTTGACATTTTATGGTTTATGTTACTTTACTAGAAACTGGTGCTAGATAAATATGGAATAAATATGGATTATGATTTCTTAATGCGTTAGGAATATTTTGTATTCACAACATCTTTCTCCAACAGTTTTAGTATTTAGGTTATAGTTGATTTCATTAAGAAAGATCGTCCAATTTTGACATTTTGTGATTTAAGCAACGTCACCAAAAACTGGTGCACGATAAATATGAAATAATTATGAATTATGATTTCTTGATGCATTAGGAATACTTTTTGTTCATAATGTCGTTCTCCATCAGATTTAGTACTTACGGTATACTTGGAATTATTAAGAAAAATCAACCAATTTTGACATTTTGGGGATTTATGCTACATCATTAGAGACTGGTGATAGATAAATATGAAAGAAATGTGGATTATGATTTCTTGGTGTAATAGGAACACTTTTTGTTCATAACGTGTTTCTCCATCAGTTTTAGTACTTAGGTTATACTATAGGTTATACTTAGGTATTGATTTTATGAAGAAAAATCATCCTATTTTGAAATTTTAGGGATTTATGCTATATCACTAGGAACAGAGAAACAGTTGTAATAGGTATTTGGAACTATTACTTTTCAGGAACGGGAACATATTTTACCTGTTTCTTAAATATATTAGTTTATAACATCTTTATTTCTTGTTCTAGTTTTAGTTGTTATTCAATGCTAGATTGTTGTATATTTTTATTAAACTAAAAGTAGAACTAACACTAGACCTAGAATTACAAACATTTGGGTTTAGCCGTACGCCTCTTCAAACGGCTAAACCCGAATGTTTCTAATTCTAGTTCAGTGTTAGTTTTAATGCTGGTGTTAGTTCTAGTTTTAGTTGTTATTCAACGGTAGGTTGTTGTTTATTTTTCATTGAAGAACTAATTAATACAGAACGCAACGGCGGATAGTTGTTCGAATTAGTGTTCATTAAAATTATTCATTCAAATAGTTTAAAGTGCAAATTAAAAAATTTTCATAGAACGGACTTTTGGCTATAACGGACACCCCCTTCCCCGTATTAATCTTAATTCTTTTGAAATAAAAGATTAAAGTATTAATTACCAACGAGTAAATAATTAAGAACCAGACGAGTTCTTCTCGCGTTTAAGTAAAACATTATCGATCACGCAAAAAATTAAAAGCTTCATTTGCGCGTAAAAGCTTCGCGGCAATTTGCCGAAGCTTTCATAGTATTAATGTAAAGTAATGGAGAGTCGGGTGGGGGCTTCGTTCCGAAATAAAGACCGATGAGGATAGATTAAGTGGTTAGATCCTCTTGGAGCCGGTGATAATATTTCTTTCATTCCCGGCCATTTGTCAGCTTTCGCGTAATTGGTAGACAATTTAACAAAAAAAAGAAATGTTCGGATTTTATTATAAATTAATCTGCCTAATAAAAGGTCAGACGAATATAATGAGGACGAAAAGGGAAACGAAATCTAAGCAGATTGTATTCAAAATTTTCTTTTGTTCGTTTTAATACGATTTCGACCTCCTTTTTTTCGAAACAACAATGGGGGGGACAATTTAAAAGATAATTGTCTGTCATGAGATTGCATCAATCATTTTTGAAACGAGGGTTGATTTTGAACGAGGGGAAAGAGATCTGGTCCATGTTTAACGTTGTGAGTGTTCAGCCTGGTACATACGATAAGAAACTTTATATCATTAATAACCATTGCTGCTTGTATTCAATGTCATTTCCTAAATTCTCGAACAAATTCTTACAATTTAATGTTTCGACCGTTAATTAATGATGACAAAATAACCGATAATGATAATTTGAAATTTACCAATATAACTTCTATTGTTTTGCATCCATGTACATTATTTAGTTAATGAATTTCATTTCGTTCGATGATGACTTTATTAAACGTACGTTAATAAATTAACAATTATTTCGTTTCATATTGAAACTACGATTATATAATTTCTTTTTTGTTCACATTACAACTCAAAATTAATAGTTACAATAGAACGAGAGTAATAAACATAATACCCTTTTTATCATAAACTAACCGAGTCGGCAAGCTCGTATCTGATAATGTTTATGGAATGAAAATGTCATAACAGCATACGTGTGATATATATTTATCACGCCGTTTTATAGCCTATTAACGGATAGCATTCGTCGTTATTTAGTGCACATTTACACACTGACGTAGGGGTGGGTAGATATTTAGATAGAGAACTTTCGGCATCATCACAAAAATGTTGGAACGCGTATCGATTCTCATTCAACGTGCATTTAGGTATCCTATCAAACTATTCTAAAGTTCTCTTTTTCGCGGGCGCAGAACTTTTTTTATTGACTCGTCTGCAAGTTATTTTTAATAAATTTATTGAAGGGTAAGTTTTAAATTTATGGAGCTGCTAGCGACAGTTCGATTGTTTATATACACGTCCTGAACAAACTTTCTGACGGCGGGCGTTGTGTTCCTATTTTCGTACTTTACGACCGAACGTCGTTCTCTCTAAATCGCTTGATACCAAGTAGTACAACATAAAGTTTTATTGGTATTGGACGTCTTTCGTTTAATAGAGCTAAACACGCACAGGTTATCGTTCATATTGGAATATTTCGTGATTTGATTTAGTGGCTGCTATCTATATTTTTTTTTCTACCACAAAATGTATCAGTGGTAATAAAATTTATTGTTATTGATATGTCATTTATTATTATCAGAAGATTTATAACTAGGTGGAACGCTAATGCCATACATTTTTTGTGTATATTATATGAATCACTATAATTTAAAAATTGTCGGTTAAGACTGACGAAGTCAAAAGTAATAAAAAAGAAAAAAGAAACATAAACGATTACAAATTCTGATTTATATAACATAATCTTCTCTATATTAATAAATAAATTTGTTGGAAACATTCACAGAAAACTACTATGCTGCTTGTCAAACGAAAACACGATAGTTAATGCGCTTATGTTGATTTACGAAACGACCACGAGAGGACAAATACAATTCTTCGCAAATGTATTTACATGTTACTAAAGAATGAATTTTAAAAAATTTTAAATACGAGTTTAGTAAAGAGAACGATAATGAAATGGATAATGTTGGATGTTTTGTTACTGGAACCAAGTAAATTGTGAAAATAATAAGCAAATTGCAAAATTCTTCTAAAAGGCTGAAAAAAAAACGTAAATACTTGTATTATCTCTTGAGTTTTGTTCGCTCAATTTATCGTTGTCTTTAAAACGTTCCATTTCGTATAATTCAAATAAAATGATTGATATTGGTATCTACTTCTGGGTGTCCTCAGAGGTCTATATTGTCACCATTGTTGTTTTCTATTTATGTTAGAAGCATATCAAACTGCTTAAAATACTCCAAATATCACTGTTATGCTGATGATACCCAGATTTATGTATGGGGTAAGGAAACGGAGTTGGATGGGTTATGTGGTCGGCTTGAGAATGATTTGTCGTCGATCGTGGTCTATTCCCAGCGACATGGACTACAAATTAACAGTAGCAAAACTGATCTTATTGTATTTGGTCCGCGAAGGCTTAGAAATAAAGTAAAGGATAGGATTAAGGTAACACTAAATGGAGATCGTTTAGAGGTAAAGGAAAAAGTAATAAATTTGGGAGTTGTGCTAGACGAGGCTTTGAGCTTTCCCGACCATATAAATTTATGTCTAAAAAAGACTTTTATTCACATAAAAAAATTATATAACATGAGACATTATATTTCCCGAAAGTTTAAAATCATGCTCTGTGATTCCTTGGTCCTGTTCCATTTTAATTATTCTGTTGCACTGTACTTTCCGTTCTTGACTTCTCAGCTGCGAGCGAGAGTGCAACGAATACAGAATTCATGTATACGCTTGATTTTTGGTTTGAGACGGAGAGATCATGTGAGTCATAAACTGGCGGAGCTTAATTGGCTTAACATGCATAATCGAAGAACAATGCATACTACTATTCTCTTTTATAAAATAATTGTTACGGGTGTGCCTCCTTACCTATCTGATAAAATCCGCTGGCGCTCTGACGTATATACACTTAATATTAGATTTAAGGGAGCATTATCACCTCCCTTTCATAAGGCAGAACGTTTCAAAAATAGCTACATTTAGCAAATTTTTAAGTTATATAACATGTACATTTTCGGCGCGGGTTTTCATCCATCAGCAATTTCGGTGGACTCACTTAAGTTATTTTGGCTATGATGGCTTCCATGCTCATCGTTATAGGTAAGATAAAAAGATGTTTAGGTTAACGATGATATAATTTTATTATTCGCAATTGGTGCTACAAATGTAATATCCGGCATATTATCGGACATTTATGTTAACCATTTCGAAAGTCAACTTTTTTCTGACCCTTACGAACTCTTCACTTCTGACATATCATTTTACTGTCGCTATGTCGACGATATTTTTGTTGTTTACGACGGTAATAAGGCTAAACTTAGAGCAGTGAACTCCATTTTTGATAATATTTCAAAACTTAAATTCACTACGTAAATTGAAAATGACCTGTGCCTCAATTTTCTGGACCTAACCATAAAAAGAAATATCCAAAATAACAAACTGGATTTCGACATTTTTAGAAAGACAACTACGACTGATACTATCATCCCCTCCAACTCATATAACTGCTCACAACACAAAAAAGCTAGTATGCGATTCTTTTTGGACAGACTGGAACATGTTCCCCTTAATGAGTTGGACTTCGCTAAGGAGATCAGAAGGATTGTTGCTATCGGCTTAAACAACAGCTACACTATTCAACATATGCAGGATATTTACAATAAGAAACACTCTTCACACATTAATAGAAT